AAACTCACACTTTTGGTCCCTCCAGCACCTTCCTTGCCCATCAGCCATCTGGCCCTGACCATGGTACTTTGATGTGGTATAGCCATGTTACACAGTGACTTGCTGAGTGCTGTATATCCGATTTGTTATTATCTGACACTTATTAAGGGTTTTCTTGCACTCAGGCTCTCTCTCTGCCCACCCTCTGAAGTTGCGTCACCTTTGTCTAGTCTGATGGCCACAGGATTGTCCTGGCCAGTGGAGCCCAGGCTACAGAAGAAGCCAATTAATTTACTTCAGACATTTTCTTTCTTACAAATTAATATATATCCTGTATATTCTACCTCCTCTTTCAATTTTCCTATCCCTGTCCAGATACCTCAGAAAGATCTTCTTTATTTCTATGTCATATGAGACAGAAAAAAATCCAGTGCTGAGTAGTAAAGTGCATGAACAAGACACACATACCCAGAAAGAAAATGACAGAAATTTAAAATAAAAAGGGAAAGTGCCAGCAGACTACAAAGTGTTCAAAAGTGCCCCGTAAACTATACAAAATGATCAAATTCCCCTTACTCTTCAACTGAAACTTGGTGTTCTGTAAGCATTATTATTGAAGGTATGTATACATGTATTTTTTATTTCACAAATTATTTAATTTGTATTTTACTTAGTTATGTTACACAAATACTGTGCCTTAATAGTTTTCATTATTTCAGCCATTTATTGGTTAGGAATGGTGTTGTGGGTTAGCTAGGGAGGGGCTCCCCACAATTTGCATTATTATTCATGGGAAATAAAATATATTCTTAGTTCCAAAAAATAAAAATTCAAGTAGTTCTAGTTTTAAAATTACTTTCAGTTGAATATAACCTATATGCTGTGATTTTCATGAAGAAAGACTAATAAGACCTCTAACCGAAGTGCTCTCTGAGTCAGACAAAAGGAAAACAGATCATGAAGGAAGAGGTTTATTATTTTAACTCATTTTTTTCTAAGTAGGAAAAAAATGCAATAGGAGGATCAGGAAGATAAATGAGGACACATCTCTCAGTTTGCTTAATGTATTGGTGTTGGCTCTGCAGGAACACCAGCCCGATGAGGTAATTCACTGTAATTAGAGCAGCCAGTGGCAGGTGGGTGACTCGGAGAAAGGCATTTGTGCAGACTCTAATTTAGACCGTGAGGAGGGGAAAAAGTGAAATCTCACTGCAGTGGCGGCTCGCCTGCCTTCACGTGTGGCAGGCAGAGTTTGTCTCTCCTCCCCTTATGCCTTTTGGAGTTCTCTCCCTTGCTGAGGCCTCAGATCCTTTCCGCATTCTGCCTCCTGGCTGCCCGGGACCTCCTCCCGCCTTTCCCAGCAAAAGCCCAGACTCTCAGTCTCTCTTCAAACAGAAGACAGGATGGGCTTCCCTAGGCTGTACATTCCACAAGTGAGAGAGCCACCTCTCTTTCTCTTAACTCAGTGCCTTTCATACAGCCAGGACGGAATGAATGAATGAATGAATGAATGAATGAAAGAAAGAAACTGTATTACTCTCCATTTGCAGGGAGTACCATTCATCCAGCTCTGTTTCTTAATAAGATTTTACTTACTGGTAAGAGAACAATGCATTATATCTTTCAGAACTATATCTCAATCGGGACAATGTCTTAATACTCTGAGGGGGAAAACACATTTAATAGAGTAATGTCAGCTATGAGAAACAAGCAGAGGGGAGAAAGACATCTGATTCAGCAAACCTCTGAAACTGTAGTACATCAGCTGTCACTTACTTTTTCTGTTCAGAACAACCAGCCTACCTAGATTCTAAACATTCCCGTTGCTAACTTCCCAGTAAGAGCATGGGAAAGAGCTCATTTCATACTGTTATGTTTGGGGGGTGGGGGGAATTCTTTCTAGAGGGAGGCACACTTAATAAAAATTACTTACATCTGTGGCTCTAGGATCCTAGAAGTAATGAAATAATATTAAGTTATCATTTATTGAGCTCCTAGTACACTAAGCTTTTTACATACATTATTTAATTTATACAACCCAACCATGGGTGCTACTTTCATTTTGTTGAGGAAGAAAGTAAAATTTGGAAAGATTACACACCACACCCTATCTTACTGACGTGTGCTATTTTCCATGAAACCCTTGAATCGCCTTAGGTCAAGCTTTTTAAGAAAAGGCAGTTTCATCTTGCCTGCTTACGCTCCACAATAGGAACTTGGATATAAGAAACAGAAGGCGTATGACAAACACAGTATTCTCTTGTAGGAGGGACTAGCTCACATCTCCTTTGGTATTAAATTTGGTAACTCGTTGAATGCCATCTCAGATATTCGTGTTAATATGCCTACTGTCGATTGTTCTTTTAAAAATCATCCTGAAGCTGTCAAAAAGGGCTCGTATGACATGGTGTCTGCTCTGCTCAAATACAAAACCAGCCTTGACCAGCCGTGTGCCAAGCGATGGTCAGCCATGCACGAAGCCGCCAAGCAGGGCCGCAAAGACCTCGTAGCCCTGCTGCTGAAGCACGGCGGCAACGTGCACCTGCGGGACGGGTTTGGCACCACGCCGCTGGGCGTGGCCGCCGAGTTCGGCCAGTGCGATGTGCTGGAACACCTAATCCACAAAGGTACGTGAAAGGCAGTTGCGCAGTCCCGGCTTTGTCCTGCCTCTCGGATTTCCTTTCGGCCATTCCTCGCAGGCTCCTGCTCCTCTCCTGAATGGAACTGAGCATCAGGCTTTTCTGCCCAGCCCTCGATCTCCTCAGTAGCCCTCCAGGCCGCCGCTGGGTAGACACCCTGCACATCTGCACGCCCAGCCCCGGCTGCTCTCTCCAGAGACAGGCCAACTTTCACATAGATGGCTCACTGAGGTCTCACACTCAGCTTCTCCTAAATGGAATTTCCCTTCTTTCACACTTTTGATGTAATGATGTCTCTCAACCGAGACTGAAAGCTTAGGTTTATCTCTGGTTCTTCTGTCACCTCCTTTTCCAAATCTAGCCAGTTGCCACGTGCTGCAGTGTCTTACTCGCCTGTTCTCACCACCTTGCCAGTCCCTCTGGTTTGCAGCCCGTTCATTCCCCTCACATCTTTCCTGGACCAATGCAATCATTTCTTAACCGTTCTCCAGGCTTCTAGTCTCCCCATCAGAGAACACTCGCTACCTACTGAACTCAGCTCCTCCTTAGAAAGGACAGATACAATGCTGCAAACTAGTCACAGGCCCTTCCGTGGCTTCCTGCCGCCCTGCAGTCAGTCCACTGCATCATCCTGAGTGCTTTACCAGGTGTAGCCCTCACGGCTCCCAACTTGTATCCTACATTCCAGACAAATGACCGGAGCAGTACTTCCAAACATTCCTCACGTTCCTGCTCTCTGGGTTTGGGCCAGGTCTTTGCCGTCATTTGGAATCCTGTCTAACATAATTCAAAGTCAACATCTCCCTGAAGCCTTCCCTCATTCTTGTGATACCGGCCCTCCTCGGAAACCTTTGAGGGCTTTATACAACTACAAAACCAGGAATGAAGACAGCAAATTCTGAAACTGGTTTTTGCCACATACTCGTCGTCTGACGCTAGCCTAGTTTCCTAAACACCTAGTCCTCAGTTTCCTCATCTGTAAATAAAGGCTTGATCCCCCAGGATCCTCTATCAGGGAAAGACTAACATTTTTGAGGCCCCTAAAGTGCAACCTCATTCAATTATCAAATAAGCCCTATGATATAAGCTGTGTTGCCCTCATGTACAGATGAGGAGGTGGAGGTTCATAGAAGTAAATAGCTTGCCCCGAACTTCTGTCAGCAGCAGCGATATCATTGAAACACAGACCTTTTCCCCCTACATCATGCCGCCGAGTCCTGGTGTCACCTGAATGTTACACAGTTTGTGTTCTTTGATGATATTTTGTTTCATTGTCCCCGTGAGCTTCTTAAAATAGTCAGATTTACTCATCTTGGGAGCTTCTTCGAGTCACACACAGTGTCTGCACATAGAAGGCAGTTGATAAGTATTTGTTGAAATGAAATAGAGTGTTAACTGTTGTCTTAAAACTTAAAAGTGTAACTATTCCTTTTCCTGGGAGCATTTGTCTATCATGGAAATTGGCTTCTTGATTTCTCAGATGGTCTTGTGATGCAAAGGTTTTCTAGTAAAATGAAACCTGCTGCATGATTGTTTATCAAAAATATTGAAAACTTAGGTATTTTTAATTCTACGATTTTAATGTTAAGTTCTAACCAGAAAGGAAAACAACGGGTTATTTTTAGGAGACTACTTTGGCAATCTGCCCAGTTACCACTATGCCGCATGTTTTGTGTTTTATATGGCCAGGCGGTGATGTGTTTGCTTTGGCGGATGATGGGGCATCAGTGTTGTTTGAGGCAGCAGGAGGCGGTAACCCTGACTGCATTTCCCTCGTGCTGGAATATGGAGGAAGCGGAAATGTACCTAACAGGGCTGGGCACCTTCCTATACACCGAGCCGCCTACGAGGGACATTACCTGTGAGTAGTGAATCATAGGATGCTCATTTTAAGTTGAAAAATACAAAATTGTATTTTTGTATTTATAGTATAATACTGTAAATACTGTATATATTGTATATACAGTATAGTCATGTTTCTCTATACAATAACCCTGCAAATCCAAAAAGAAATAGGCAAAACATTCACAAGTTTTATTTTTTCTAAGTATTTGTTTGATTTCCTCTTTTTTTATATATTCTTGTACTTCATAAAATTTCCACATTGAATGTATACTACTTTTATAATGAAAAGAGTTTCTCTTTTAGAAGGAAGTGACATGTAAGAATTCTGCACAAGCCACCAAAATGTGCCTTTCTGTTTTAAAAAAAATAAAAAGTGTTTAACAAAGGGCTACAGAGTTTCTAAAAATTTTGTCTTTGGCAAAGAATTAAAATTTGTAAAACTACTCTCTGTATTACTCCAGTTATTGACCAACATGTATGGATTGTTGTCAAATATATTACTGAGTAAAAAATGTTTAATTATAGGTTTAGATATCTTTATTCCAAAAAATATGGTTGGGTAGATTTTTGAATCACAAAATGTGCCACAATTCACTCATCAATAGAAGTTTATAATCATTCTATTAAACTACCCACCATGAGAGGGTGGTTTTAGGCAATTAAATATATTTTATAAGTTCAAAAAATTTAAAATAGTTAGGCTTTATCACTTTCAGTGGCCACATTGGCTAAGTGGCCAATGACACGTAATTGACGCTAAGTGACACGTTGTTAAATTTTACTTGGCTTTATTCCCAGTGTTCATAAATTCACACTTGGTAGCTCTGAATTAGGCACAGAGATCAAGTTATACTTGCTGGTGGCTCTCATATGTGTCTAGTTGGTCAGTCAACTGTGAAATTTACAACTATCACAAGTTCTTAGAAACAGCTGCGGTTAGTTATCTCCACTGAACTGATGTAAGGTTGATAAATCATAAAGACCCTTCTTGTAGCTAATAATTCAATTTCAAGTTATATTGAAGCAGACATGACATTAAATATTACAGCACAGATTGCTCGGGAAGCAGTGAAACAGGAGTACTGAACGAGAACTCAAGAGACCTAAATCCTAGTCCTTGCTCCACCTCTGTGTGACCTTGTACAAGTCATTTCACTTCTGCAGCCTTCATACGGCTCTTCTGTTAAATGAAGGCACTGGACTAAGAGATAGCCAAGGTCACTTCCAGCTCTAACTTCCTGTGACTTCATGATTCTAATGGTCAAGATTACGAAGCATTCCTCTATGGCATCAGATGTGCTTACTTTCATTTTTTTCATTAAGTAGCATTGGTTACTGATAAATATTATGCTGTTCAGAGAAGAATTGGAAGATGCAGAGGGTTCCTGAGGTCCACAATTCTAGGACCAAACATATAAGACTCAGCATGATCTCCAGGAATATTTTGAATGGAAAGCTAAATCAAAACTAAGCTAAATTATACTAAACTAAATAGTAAGTCAATGGGCAAAGGTTAAATGTCTTTGTATAAGGTTATCTAGCAAAAATAAAGGACACTAAACAAACAGCATTCATTCATCTAGTGAGAAAGCTAGTTTACTTAATTTCTTGACTTTCTTCATGCCATGTGGCTCTTTTGTTTTGTTTTGTTTTTGTTTCAGTGCGCTGAAATATCTTATCCCAGTAACATCCAAAAATGCAATCCAGAAAAGTGGGCTAACACCAATTCACTCAGCGGCAGATGGACAAAACTTACAGTGCCTTGAACTGCTCATTGAAAATGGTTTTGATGTCAATTCTCTGCTTGCTGACCACATTTCTGAGAGCTATGATGATGACAGGAAGACTGCACTCTATTTTGCTGTTTCTAATAATGACATCCATTGCACAGAAGTCCTTCTGAACGCCGGTGCCGACCCAAACTTAGATCCCCTCAACTGTCTCCTGGTGGCAGTAAGGGCCAATAATCATGAAATTGTCCGGCTGCTTCTCTCCCACGGAGCTAATGTCAATTGTTATTTCATGCATGTTAGTGACACTCGGTTCCCCAGTGCCATCCAGTATGCCCTAAATGACGAAGCAATGCTGAGGCTGTTGCTGAATAATGGCTACCGAGTGGAGCTGTGCTTTGAGTGCATGCACGGAGACATCTTTGGAAATTCGTTTGTGTGGTCAGAGATAGAGGAAGAGGTACTGCCGGGATGGACATCTTGTGTAATAAAAGATAACCCGGTGAGTTACATCCTTTCCTTCTGCCTATGGGGTCATCATCCTAATTTAGAGATGTAACAGGAAAAGAGAAATCAACTCTAACTTTTATATGCTTTGTATCACTCTTGGATTTTTTTTTTGTTGGTGATAATATGGTAATATAAGCATAAACTAGGCAAAAAGATGGTGTCTGCTTTTCTTGCATTGGAAACTGAATGTAAAAGAATGTGAAAGCATATGCAGTTAATAACTAATGTCTATTCGGTGGAATATTTGGGCTAGCAGCATGGAAAAAAGAATCATGGAAAGAAGCTTGATTCTTCCACGTTATATTGACTACAATCACATCAGAGCCATGTATGCAACTCCAGGGCTCATATTTTCACAGAATCAAGAAAACGATTTTTTCTTTTTTGTTCATTACAAGGAGGGACCTTTTATTGCCTATAAAAAGACAAAGATAGCAATGTTCATAACAAAAGTGTTTATGTATATGGTATGTTAAAAGTACAACTAAATTAAGCTTTTATCGATTCTCTCAGTTCTGTGAGTTTATTACAGTTCCTTGGATGAAACACTTGGTAGGCAGCGTTATCCGCGTATTAATAGATTATATGGATTATGTCCCTTTGTGTGCTAAACTGAAGTCTGCATTGGAAGCACAGAGAGAATGGCCAGAAATCCGTCAAATACTAGGTAAAAACAAGTTTTGTCTACAAAAATTTTTAATGAAGACTGTCTATGGGGGAAGTTTCTTAATGTCATCTTTGATATTTTTTCAGTGCTACTTATTTTCAGAATTATCTGTTTTTTAAAATCATCCTTAATACTTCCTCTGATGTAAGATATCAGTCTCTTGATACTTTTCTTGATACTTTCTAAATATTTCATTGTATAGTGGGGAATATTATAACTATATTAACATTCTGACTAGAACTCATTTTTTAAAAGTTAGCTTCTATAATATCATAATATTTGTAGACTTCATTTCTATGTGGGCAGGAATCTGTTTTGTTTATTTTTGTATTCTCAAGACTTAGCATAATGCCTATTAAGTGGTAAGTACTCAGTAAAAACTGGGTAAATGAATAAATGAAGTGAATTAGAATTATCCTTTTTGATATGCTCTTTCTCAGGTCTTTATTGACAAATTCCTACCATCAAAAGTTTGTATTATGGTCAGGCTATTTTGTGTTCTCCAGGTTAAAGTTTAGTTATAATCATAAAAGTGAATCATATTACAAAAGTTTCAATACAATTGCATCTAAAATGACATTTAAATATTCTGGCACTTTTAATACACCTAAATAGGCCTTGACTTGGGATAACAAAACCTCACCAGCCATTCTTTAGAATCAGGTGAATTTTATACAAATTAGCTAAGTGATAGTTTACAGCCAACAGAGTGAAACTAAAATGTTGAGCTGATTCACATGCCAAATCTGTTAGGTATAAAGTTCTATAAAAACAAATATAAGTGACATAGTGGTCTTCATTTAAGCATTTAGTTTCAATCAGTCTTACACATTAAATTAATTCACCTGAATTTGGACTATTTTGACCATAGCAGCAAGAGATGTAGGTTGGTGGGAAGGATGGAGACTTTCGCCAGCTAGAAAGAGTGATAGTTCAATCCAATGAAGATTTGGGGTAAGCTTGGATTTCCCTCATATGGCTCTTCCCTTGGAATGAGTTCCCAATAGGAGAGACTTTGTGGCAACTAAAACAGAAATCTTAGAGCCTAGAAATTGACCTCACGGCTGAGATGGACCTAGGATAGGATGGAATTCTGGCCTTGCCTAGGATTGCTGGGTTATATAGTGTATATGCCATCCAGGGCTGATAGTTTCATGGAAACAAGCAACAATTTATTGCATCATTTTTGTTTCATTAAGGAGAGAAGAATTTTTTATTTACTGAAAAAAAGACCAAGATAGTCATACTAGCTGTGTGACTTTGAGAAGGTGTGAGCACTTCCTTTCTTAAATCAAGTGTATTCTTTTATTTAACACATCCTAGCCGAACACCCATTATGAGCCAGACTGTCTTCCAGACACAGAGACAGACGAAATGTCTGCCTCCCTGGGACTTCCCTCCCAGAGGAATGGTCTGGAAGGCTTAATTGCAATCTGAATTTCACTTAGTCACAAGTTGCTAACATGTGCATACCTGTTTTTCAGAATAACACTATTAATGTCATTCTAAAATACTCTGTAGCTTACAGGTCAATCCACTAATATTGTTTTTATTTATTTTTTGCTTGTTTTTTCCATTTTTAGAGAACCCTTGCTCATTAAAGCATTTGTGTCGGTTAAAAATTCGAAGACTTGTGGGACTTCAGCGACTCTGCCAGCCAGCCTCAATGGAGAAGCTTCCTCTACCACCAACTATTCAAAGATACATATTATTTAAAGAATATGATCTCTATGGACAGGAGCTAAAATGGATTTAAAAATTGTTCAACAGGATTCCCTCAGAGAATTTCTTGGAATCGGTTTATATCTTTAAGTGTGTTTAAATGCATTGACAATTTTATAATGGGATCCTGTGTTCTTATGGGAACGCTGAGTTTTATGTCTTTAAAGACCTTTACATTGTGATTTTTTTAACTTAAGTATAGTTAATATATATTACATTAGTTGTATTAGTTTCAGGTGTACAATATAGTGATTCAACATTTGTATACCTTACAATGTAATCACTCCACTAATTGTACTAGTCACCTGTCACAGTGCAAACTTATGACAATATTATTAACTACATTCCCCTTTGCCTTTTTTACCCATCCTCCCCTTCTGGTAACCATCCCTTTGGTTACAATGTGATTTTTTTTTTAAGCAAGTCAATATTTTACATTTGAATTTCTATTATCTTCACTGGCAATAAGTCTTCAAACTCCATCAAGTGCTCCCACATTATCCATGAGCAAGCCTCTCCTATGTTTATAAAACGAAGAACCACTTTCTCAAATCCACATCTTCAGCCAGTTGCTGGCCCATTCCTCTCCTCTCTTTCACAGCTATACCACTGACAGGGGTCCTTCCTGCTTACAGAGTCACACTGTTTCTCCACTGCCCTTCTCAAGGTCCTTAACCCCTTCCTCATTGCTAATTTCAACATGCATTTTTCTTCAGTCCTCTAAGCGGATTCCTGCAGCACCCAATACTGTTGCCTGCCCCCTCCTTGAAAAGGTCTTCCCCTGGTTTTCACGACACCTTGCTTTCTTGGCTCTCCTCCCACCTCCCAGGCTGCTGTCTCTGGCTTCTTCCTGCGTTGCTCACCTCCTGTCAACCCTTTAGTAATATGCCTTAAGCTCTCTTCTCTTTTTATGCTGTGTTCTCTGGGAAATTTCATCCCCGTCCTATGTGCTCTTGACAATAAAATTTGTATCCAGAGTGCAGTTCTTTTTCTCATGTGCTTGAGCCCTTGTGTAGACAACTGGCCTAATGGGCATTTGAACACAATACACCTCAGATTCACCCGGTCCCAAGTGAACTCACCGTCTTCCTCCACAAAAAGACTCCTTCTCTCACCTTCTCTAGCTCAACTGTTAGCACAGTTACCAATTCAATTTCCCAAGTCAAAAACCTGGGCATCAGCCTCAACCATCCCGTTTTCCTTACCCAATACAGCAGCTCGCCAAATCCTGGTAAGTTTATCTCTGGAAGTCAGGCTCACTGATTTGGTCCTTATTCATGCCATTACCTCCTTTTTTTCTGGGATACTGTAAGGCCGCCTAACTGGCCTTCCTTCCTGCTGTCTTGCCTATGCAACGTGCATTCTACACACAAATTCCTAGAATGATTTTTTACAAAGGTAAGTAGAGTTTCACTCCCTTGCTTAAAATCATTCCCATTGGTCTTAGGATAAAGTCCAAATTTCTTTCATGGCCCTTCATGATCTCACTCCCTGCCTTCCTCCTTAGCCTCATTTCTTGATGTCTCCCTCACCTCTCCCCTTTAACCATATTAAACACCTTTTAGAAGTTTATTCTTTGAACAGTGACTCCCAGACTTATATAAAATCTATACACTAGTAGTTTTTGTCTTACTAGTTTTTAAAATAGGGCATTTATTAAATATGTATGTCTATATATCATCTACTGTCACCATCATTTCATAAAAGAGGCACCATTTTAATGCCAGAAAATAAGTTGGCCTTCAGTTCAATTATTAAAATGGTATGACTTTAGCTTTGAAAAGGCTTAGCACACTGTTCTTCCCCATTGATGGGTGAAAATATCATTCTGGCCCAACAAGGCTCTGAGGTTCTTTGTTCGGAAACCATTGCTGTAGAATAGACCATGCTGTCTTGCACCAGGGGGCCTTTGCATTTTCCTCTTCCTCTGGCTGAAATCTTCTTTCTACCTCCATAAGCACATAATTTCATACATTTAGACACACAATTTGAAAAACCTTGATCTCTACTAAAATTACTTGAAAGAATGATGGTTGGTGTGAAGAATCCAATCTGGATCCTTGCACACAGCAGGGGCTCGAAAATGTCTGCGAACAGGAAAGGAGGGTGAGCAGGGGGAGGGAAACGGGGGGACACAAACGGGACAGAGCTGAGCGCCAGGGCTGACTTGGACACTTACTAAGGCTGTGATGTGGAAGGTCTTTTTCTACCCAAGCCTCAGACTTTTTCTTTGTTTCTTTTGAACCTTCTAAATGCAAACACAATTCTAGTTGCTCAAGTTCTATCAGGAATACATAAATCAACACTGAGTGTGTCATGGCAGACGTTGATATACGAGAATTCTCTCCTCTCTCCGTGCCGTCCTGGCAGAAAAGAGGACTCGACACCCTCAAAAACAGAACTTCCCCACATTCGCTCTCTCCGGGAACCATCCTTGACCTATAAACCTTAATGCTAGAAGAGGGTTCTATACAAATGAATTAACATGTATGATCAGAGAGCCTCCCGGGATCTACTGAGCCCAGTAGGTTCCCAGCAGGCAAAAGAGCCTTCAGTCAGAAAGTGCCCTCATGCCAGCTACCTGGGTATGGATGGAAGCTGTCAAGATGGCAGTTGGTGTAGAGAGTGAAGGAGATCACAGGATGCAGGAACACTTCCTTCCAGTGGGCTACTGCCCCCACTTGCCCCAAGTTCCTTCACTTACCCACTGGCCCTCCGTGCCTGGCCGTGGGCCTGGGCCGAGGATCCCCAAACACAGAGGGTGCCCACGGCTCTCATCCTTAAGCCTCCCTACCCGGACGCCCCCAGGTCACACCTGAGACCAGTGCTGACCTTGTACTCCAGAAAGAGGGGGGTCTCCCTCCCTCTTGCTTCTCCCTGACGCATCCCCGAGCCCTCCTGTCACTCTCAGCAAGTGGCTATGGCCACACCAGGACCTGGACAGCTCATCAAGACCCTCCCTCCACGGCCCAAGGACTTCTCTTCGGAAAGGAAGACCCACTTGCTTTTCTTCTCGGGCTCCAAACCCCACCCAAATGTGGTTGCAGTAGAAAGTGCTGCAGGAAAAATCATTGTTTGAAAACATAAGTCTGGGCGCTGTGGGCTTACATAGGGTCCCGTGATACAACCTGTCAGCCTCAGTTCAACCTTGAGGAGATTCACACTCGTTCAAAAGATGAGCGAAACTTAGAACGAAAACACACTTTTATTTATTCTCTCAT